AATTATACATATATTGATTTTCAAACCTTGTTTTTCAAACTCATTTTTCAAATTGCCTATTAGAATTGTTTTAGAGAACCTTGAAATATTACAAACTCAATTGAGTTTTGGGATTGATTATATTGCATACATGTGTTTAAAATTGCAGATTACTCTTTCTATTTTGATTCCCTTAAGTCATGTCTCATAAACGTTCTAGGTCATCCTCTAATCGATCAAACCAACCACCAAACTCACCTCCAAATCCTTATCCTATCTAACAATTTCCTAATCCTAATCCCGATGATCCAAATATGACCATTCATAATTCGTGCTTCAATGAACCAGGTTGTGGACAAAATCTCTTCTTTAGGTATTCACAATACTTTAAATCCTACGAAATTCGGGAAGAAAGAATCTCATCTCTTCAAGTTATGCTAGACATACATTTTCGACATCTTCCTACCCTACAAGAGTGGAAATTTGATAAACTCTTCGAACTTGAACCAATAGTTTATAATCAACTCATTCGAATATTCAATTCTAATGCCATTTGCGTTCAAAATCGGGCTAAAACCACAACCATAGGAATACGATCCTATCTTCTGGGAAAATTCTTTTATATTGACCCAGAATACATTGTCAACGCATTAGGATTAGATAATGACGGCTTAGAAAATGAAAAACAAACGGTAGGTTCTATTTATAAAAGAAGGGATAGTGCGAGTGTTTTAGATCTCCATGATCGTTTCCTTCATTTAATGATCTCTTGGTGGTTTCGACCATCCGGAGGCAGATACTCCACTCTTCGAGCCTTGGATCTTTGGTGGCTACATTGTGTCCAAAATAATCTTAAAATAAACCTACCTGAGATTATCTTTGTCGAAATTATTGAAACCTTAAACCTATTTCCTAATAAGAAACTATGTTCTTCTCTAGTTTACGATTGTATTCTTAGTAATATGTTCTCTAAAGTCGAGCTTAGGGTTGGCCTTGATGCCATTTTTCCACTCAAAAATCAAATCAAACTCTTTTCATTAACAAAATCGGGATGGAAGATAAATTAAGAAACTGGTCTATGGGTTCGTACCAGTGAGTAACCTCTGGAAGTTGAAGAAGCCGACGATGAGCCGGAGCTGTACGAGGAACAAGCACAGCAAGAAGATCAAGTGCCTCCATACTTTCGATCATTTATGGAGAATCTTGATATGAGGTTTGCATCCATCGAATCACATTTGATTGCTAACAACGAAACGATGTATCGTCGTTTCGACACTTTGAACGAGAGGGTCGATGCACTATCACGTGATGTGGCCAATATTTGGACACACTTATCTCTTTCTGATCCTCCGATGGACGATTAGGCCCTATTTTCTTGCTTAGCTTCGACCTTATTATTTTAACATTTTGAATGCTTTTTGGATGTTTGAATTTGATATGAATGTTGGATTTTTATGTTTTAGATGTTTTTGGATAATTTGAACTTATCTATATATGTGGATTTGCTTAAATTTTAATTTTGTGCATCATTTACATCATTTTAGATATATGACCAATTTTACCATTTCACTTTCGTTTATGAATATTGTTTATGAAACTAATGGCTAACTTCTTCTCTTGATTGTGATCTTAGCAGCTTAAGCTTTAAGTTTCTAATTCAAATGGCTAATGTTTTTCAAAACCTTGTTTTAAAATGCTTTAGGGTCCTTTTGATTTAAAAAAAAGGGGGAGAAGTGTTAAAGTAAGGGGGAGTAATTTCAAAACTTGATTTCAAAATTTATTTTCAATTAGAAATTCTTAAAATCACTAAACTGTTTTGTTATATCAAAAAGGGGGAGATTGTTGAAAACATTTTGATGTTTCGATATAACAAATTAAATGATTTTGGATTTCAAGATTTTCTAATCATTTTTCAAAAATATATATTCGATCAATCTATTCGAATATCAAAACATTACTCCAAGTTTTACAAATGTCTATTTCAAATCCTTACTCAAGTGTAAAAATATGTCTTAATCTTTTAAACAAATTTATAAAGTATTTCGAGCCTTATTCGAGTCAAAAATCATTTCTTAATTAAAATCAAACCAAAATGGGCAGATTGCCAAGAGAGAACATATTCCCCCCATGGGGTACCGATTCCCCCTGAATGGTTTGGCTCCGAGAAATAACAGATTGCTCGGAGGGAATCGATTCCCCCTGTTTAACGGTCGAAATATTTGAATTTTACACTGCATGAACCGATTCTCTATGAGGGGGTATCGATTCCCCCACGCTCCAAGCATCTTTATTAATTGTTTTCAAACTTAAACGGCTCTATTGACTCCACTAATCATCCCCAACATTCAGAATCAATTGAAGGAGTATTTAAACAAGCTTAGAATCCATTGATCAACAACAAGAAACAAGAATCAAGAGAGAATCAAAGAGAAAGCATCAAACCTCAAGTTTGAGCACTTTCAAGCCTATTTCATTCAATATTCATTTTTGCTTTCAAGAACACTTATTGTGCTCAATTGTATTATTCTTAAGTGTTCTTTCTTTGTTCTAGAATTGTGCAAACACATTTGCCTTATGAGGTTTTTCATTAAGTTTGCAAATTTGTAATATTCTCTTTGAGAAAGAGTATTCTCAAGAATTGGGGTATATTCTTGAGGGAGTTGTAAGGTTATCTCTTTGGCCTCAAAAGAAAGAACAAATTAGTGAATTTGTTGGAAAATCCTTAGTGCGGATAGTTAAGGTAGTGGACGTAGACTTTGGTTGAGAAAGTCGAACCACTCTAAATCGTTGTGCAATTACTTTAAATTTTCTGCAAAAGCTTCCACCAAATTTTTAATTGCCAATTCACCCCCCTCTTGGCCAATTCCATCGATCGATTAACTCAACATTATGGATGCAGTTCTGGGGAACTACATATTGGTGTTCGGTTGGAGGGTTTTGCCATGGTTTTAAAAAAACATTTTAAATTGTTATTGTTTTAAAAAGATTTGTACCTTTTCACTGGTTTTGTGGGAACATACTAGACACCCTATTTTGATCTCTTGAACCCGATTCTCTGAATGTTCCCTATGAATTGTAAGCTTCACGTCTTTTACTACTTGAAATATCAATAGGACCTCAGCTCATCACAAAAATCTGTGGATATCTGAATCAATAAAGAAAATTATGCTTGCATATTATCTGCATGTCCTTCAGCATCACTTGGTAGCTCTGTATTACTGAGCTTCCCAAAGCTCACTCTGTTACTCACTATTTCAAGTTAAAAGAATTGATCTAGTACAGCTATCAACATCAGTATTGGATTTCCAGCGGTGTTCTTGCGGAGTACGGTGCATGTGATTAGGGGGCATGTAGGTTGTATTCTTTTATATATTCGAGTTTGAAACGTGTATGATTTTAATCATATTTGTAGTATATGAATGGTTTTTTGAACTTGTATTTTAATTATAATTTGTTTTATGATTTTACACGTTTTAATAGAAATTTTAAATTTTTCGTGATTTTTACTGTAGGTCGCTCTGGTGGCCCCAATATAACACATCGGTTCGGATCGGGTCACCCCATCAATCTGTAGGTGTTACACAATACATGATCTATCAGATGCCATTCAACAACAACGTAAAATATAAGGGACGTGATTGCATACCATACGTCCGATGTAGTAAAAAAATTAAATGGGATACACGTCATACACTCTTGATTACAATAAGACATCGACTGAAACTGCAAAAATAATTTAATTACAATCTAATAAATGTATTTGTAGGTATTAAAATATTAATATGAAATTCGTAAAACACATACTTGTATTCATGTTCTTTGATGGATTATTTATAGTTACAGACTCAACCGTTTGAATTTAGATTCTTTAAAAAGAATAATATTCTCTTTTATCATCGAGATTATTTAACGAGTTCAACTTAATTTTTAAAAATATTCTTTAAATGTTTGCAACTATATGTATCAATTAGCATACAAATGCAGCCATATATGCCAACGAAATGAAATGTTTAATTGTCCTCACTTAATGCCAGAATTTAAGGGTTTTCTTTAGTTAATTGGCAACACCATGCACTCTTCCACAAAATTATTTTATATACACACATCGGTGGAGGAAATTTCGTTTTCAGTGGAGTAGACGGGTTGGTTTGGAAAACACCAACTTTATTGAGAAAAAAATGGTAATACCTTCTTCACATGCAATTAATGAAAGATTGATTATGCACACACCTTCATGAATTAAATGATAGCAAATCGATAGAATTGAATTGAATTTTTTTTTCATAATATAGTTATATTTATTTTAATTATGATACCTAAAATCACATATGATATATATATTCATAATATTTTTTAATCATCGATAATACATACCTTACAAAAACAACTGCTCAAACTCAAATTTCAAACATTCTCTTCGACCACATCTTATATATATATATATATATATAAGTTTCATCTCTTCCCCCACATGTATGAAACCTATAGATATATACGATTAAATTTTATAATTAGTACATATACTAAGTTTGAACGGTGGATTTAATACTTGTATTGCATATACAGAAATAATATAATTAAATTTATAAGTATAATATCACATTTCTGATTCAGCAAACAGTCACAATAGCAGATCAAGAGAATCTGTCACATTTTTCAGTACCAGAAATTATTGAAGAAAAAGCTGAAGATGCATTTTAGAATGGAAAAGAAAAGCATGAATCAACCATATGTGAATGTACAGATTTCCCTTTATCCTAAGCAAGTCTTGAAGATTGAAAATATTAGTTATTTATACATATTCGAATTCGAGTAACATAAATCATAAACACCAATGCATGTCCGACACCTTTTCATAAAGTAATCTTCCACCACTCCACAAAAAAGCAGAAAGAAAAAAAAGAGAGACTGAAACATGTGGAAATCTAAAATCTTACCCTAAATTTACTTCTTTTCCCCCCCAACTATATAATGCAATGATCCCAATTGGTTTAGGGTCATCGTTTTCTAACCAGAGAACAATGGTTCATAACTTAATGCTAAAGTTTCAAGCCATCAAGAAATCAAAGAAACAGCAGTTTCTGGACAAGGTTTTACTCTACACATTCATAGCATTCACTTGTTCCTTCTTCTGTTCCAGCCCTTTCTGGCTCCCTTACTTGTTGTCCTCATTCAACAACTTTCTAATAGTTTCTTCAACAAAAATGGGTTCAATCATGTACAACCCTAAGCTATTGTTCTTCCTGGGCAACCTTATCGTCGCGGTTCTCATCGGAGAATCCAAATTTTTTGCTCGTTTTTCAGGTTCCGGGGATGTGTACTACGACGAGTACGTCGATCATCATCGGAGTCCTACCCCCGGAAACTATTCGATCCTCGAAGTGAAAAGAGAGATGAAAACGAAGCATTGCGAAGAGAACGTGAAGGTGGCAACGAGTTTCCAGGTTGAGGATCATATTAGGGAAGTAAAGAAGGAAAAGAATGAGCCGGAAGGAGAACATGAAGCTGTTTTGCCTACTGAGGAATTGAAGAAAAGAGCTGATGATTTCATTGCAAGGGTCAACAGGCACAGGAGGCTTGAAGCTACATTATCAGTTTAAGTAAATGTAGTGAGTAGTAGTCATCACCATCTTTTAAACATATTCGTATCAGACATATGCTTGTATCCTACATTTTTGGGTAATCCGAAGCAGTGAACCTCCGAGTTGTAAAATCTTTTCTGTAACTTAATGGAACTGCTGGCTGGTTTGTTTGATTGTTTTGATATCAGAATAGATTTTGGTTGATATGAATATGATCCAATCCAATCCTTTGGAGCAACAATCAGTAGTTTCAGCTGGCATCGGGGACGAGCGCAAAATTTTATGTTAGGGGTAAACATGAACTTATAATATTTCAAAAACGATGAAATTGAACTTATAAAATTCTAGAGGAGCGAAAATATATTTTTAATAAAAAATACATTTAAAAAATCTAAAATATATAATAATTTTCAAATTTCCGTGCCTAAGTCCATCCGGCTGGCATGGAACTTGCAGGAGCAGAAAAGGCTTTGGAATTGATGATTTTTTTGTTGTTAACATTTTGGTATGTGAATGACATTGATGACGAAGAAAGCCATCAATTTTCCTAGAATCTTTTTTAAAAGAATTATGGCCACGAAATTACCAAAGTTGGACAGATAAAAAGGTGGCACCGCCCATATCGTTTTGTTTGAACACAAATGCTTTCTTTCTTTACCAAAAAGAAAAAGGTTAATCAAATCAGTTTTGATTTCAACTTTATTTTAATTTAGGTTACAACTTTTACCAAGAGAGAAGCAAAAGGTAATAAGTCATTCATAAAAAAACTAGTACGTATTGGTATTATTTAGGGTAAACTGTAAGAGTGGTTAGTTTTGTTTCTGATATTTTATCGATAGGGGATTTTATGTGGTGAAATGGATCAAGAGGTTCCTCTAAAATCCCATAAAGAGTAAAGATATACCCATGGATTTCACATCTCTGAAATCAAATGAATTCCATGTTTAATTCAGAAAATTTAAGTTTTGGGAGTAATTTGATTGAAAATTTTGATGCACTTGAAAGTTCTAGTGCTTGACTTCTCCACATGTTGTATAAATGATTGTGGATTTAATTTAGATTTTTAGTGGGATATTAGTGATAAATTTATTATAATAATTTATTTGAAAATTTTTAGATTGAATTTATGAGGTTCGAAATATTTTTCAATAAAGCGAACATCGAATTCATGTTCAAGGGGTTAAAAAATAATTGAATTATAAATTTTAAGGTCCAACAATCATCAACAGTTATGTTTGATGACAGTGATTGATGACGGTGGTAAGTAACAACTAGGGGTGTAAATGAATCGAACTTGAACGAATAAAGTTATGTTTGTATGTTCAGTTCATGTTTGTTTAATTTTTTAATAACGTGCTCGTGTTCGTTTATTTATTGTTCACGAACGTGCTCGTTTATTTGTTTACAAATGTGTTCAATTAGCGTTCATGAATGCATTCGTATAATGATCATTTAGTGTTTGTTTATATGTTCAATTTTTAATTTTACACTTTCATTTGCAAGTTAAAGAAAAAAGGTAAAATTACGTTATTAGTTCTTAAACTCCTTAAAATTTATAGTTTAAATTATAAAAAAACAAAAGGAAATGAAGAATTGGATAAACGAACTTGTTCGTGAATATAAACGAACCAAACACATTTTTTTAAGCTTTGTGATCAATTTATCCAAGAGAAGCATAAACCTGCTACATCAAACAGATAATCCACAAAAAAACAAGGACACTAAGAAATTACCATAACATCACACAAAAGACACGAAAAATACCCCATTCCTCACAAAGATCCCTGTTTACAGAATCCATTATGTCAATGGCCTTCCTCTAAGGTGGCGTTTGATTCGCTGGAATGTTTCTGAGGGAATTGGAATCTGTAAAGGAATTGAAATCTGTCAGGAATTGGAATCCAATTCCTTATTCTGTTTGGTTGGCAGGAAACTGAATTGGAATTCAATTCCATATTTTGTTTGATTCGCAGACATACCAGATGAATTTTATTTCAGTAATGTAAAATGACAAGATTGTATTTCTTTCTTTTTTGCTTAATTTTAGTTTGTTCTATAAATTACATGTAACAATATATTATAAAAATTTAAAAAATATTAAATTTTAATTTTATTGATTCATTATTCATTTCAATAAATTATAAAAAATCATGTTAATAAATATCATAAGTTAAAATCATCCCAATTAGGGATGGCCATGGGTCGGGTTGGGTCGGGTTTTTGGTCCACCCGACCCGACCCAAGAATAAGGGAACCTCCATCTGAGACCCGACTCAACCAAAATAAAGTTTCACCCGACCCGTCCCGAATATATGAATTAGAAACCCGACCAGACCTGAAATAATAAAAAAATTATTTTTATTCAATAAAAACAGACTTAATTGAAAAAAAAATTATATATTGAGGGGTATTATTGTAATTATTCCTAAATATATAAGGTAAATTTATATATTTTTTGGGTCGGGTATTTTTCAGCCTAAACCTGAACCCGACCTGAATATCACACTTAAAAAAACTGACCCGACCCGACCAAAATAAAGTTTCACCCGACCCGAATATATGAATTAGAAACCTGACCCGAAATAATAAAAAAATTATTTTTATTCAATAAAAACAATGGCTTAATTGAAAAAAAATTATATATATATAGAGGGGTATTATTGTAATTATTCCTAAATATATAAGGTAAAATTATATATTTTCGGGTCGGGTCATGTATTTTCACCCTAAACCCAAACTCGACCCGAATATCACACTCAAAAAAACCGACCCAACCAAAATAAAGTTTCACCCGACCCGAATATATGAATTAGAAACCCGACCCGAAATAATAAAAAAATATTTTTATTCAATATATGAATAAGTTACTAAAAAATTGATAAGGGTAGTATGGTCAAATTTCAATTCCCTCCAACAAGAGAATTGAAATCCATCATAGAATGGATGGAATTCACTTTCCCTCATTTTATGGAAAGTTGAAGTCATGAGGAATTTCAATTCCCTTTGAAAACTTGAACCAAACATGGGAAAGTAGTAGAATTAGATTCCAATTCCCCCTAATTCCAAGGGATTCTTGTGAACCAAATGCCACCTAACTCTTATTCTAACGAACCGAACACACATTTGTTTGTGTTCGTTCGTTTATTAAATGAACATAAAAAATTTGTTCATACTCATTTATTTAGCTTAACAAACGAACGTTATATGAACGGTTCACGAAAAAATCACCGAACGCTGTTCATTTACACCCCTAGACTAACAACGAAACACTTTAGCTACACTTAGAGTTTAAATTAGTATTTCATCTAAAATTTATGGGTTAAATGAGTATTTTATTCAAAATTCATGATCAAATTAAAAACTAATTCTTTTTACTAACGTGGCATGTCACCAAACTAACAGACTTAACGATTCAGTGAACAAAATAAGATGATAGGGAAGCGGTGACAGGTTAATGAACGTTGCTCTTGTTGAAGAATCAAACCTAGAAAAGATCTAAGACTCGATAAAGAACAATAAGGGATGAATGGGGAAGGTGGCAACAATAGATAGGGTTCTTTAGGGTTTCTTTTTGGTGCTGGAAACAAGATAAGAAATAAGATTAAAACAAGATAAAGAAAAGATAAAGGAATTGAAAATAAAATAAGATAACCAATAAATCAAAAGATCTCCCTTATGAAGGTGAACGATAAAGATGATTGATGACGTGGATGGATATGTGGAAAATCGATGGATAATGTCCTATCGAGCCCTCCTAGTCGCAATGAAAAGGCAAACACGATAATATGACTCTAACCAACCCTCCTAGTCGCGATGAAAAGGCAAATTGGAGTGTGAAGATTAATCTCCCTCACAAGAACTTGAAAGAACTCAAGGAGAAGAAGCTTCGAAGGCACAAGGCAATCAGCACTTGCAAAAACGAACTCTCGTTGTATTATTAATCAAAGAAATCTTATTTACAAAGTTGAATGAAGCCTCCTTTATATAGGGACTGAATTCTAAAGGTCCTAAATAACTAAAGAATAAAATATTAATAAACTAAACATGTTTTAACTCTAATTCCTAATAAAATAATAATAACTAAAAATATTATTTTAACCCAACCTTAATTCCTAATAATAATTCTGATCCTAAAAGATAATTAATCATCCTATATTAAATTATATTACAAATAATCAATATAAATATTGAAAATTCATAATATTTACAAAATAACTTATTAATCCCGTATAGGATTTCCTGCATGCACCGTCTTCAGTAAAATGGTCATATCTTGAGTTCCCGATATCGGATTGATGCGATTCAAGAACCGTTGGAAAAATAAGAGATAGACGGTTGTATCTCCAGAAGACATGTCGACCGGATAACAACTGGATCCCCTTCAAAAAGTTGTTGTAAATCTGCTGCTATTAGACCCTTACGGATGAATGCTTGAACTACGATTTGAAGCTTGTCTTTAAGAAGTTTTGTCCGGCCTCGTGTGATAGGGCCAAGTGGTATAGTAAATTCATCATCCTTAGCTTTAGGGCGTGTGGTGCATGTATCATCTCCCCCTTCCTTAAAAGGATTCGTCCACGAATCTGAAATATCAAAAGGAGATAAGTCATAAACATTAAAGGATGCACTCACGTTATACTCACCGGGAAGATCAATGCGGTAGGCGTTGTTATTGATTCGTTCAAGGACTTGGAATGGGCCATTGCCTCATGGGTCTAGCTTGGATTTCCTTTGTGTCGGGAACCTTTCTTTTCTCATGTGAACCCATACCCAATCTCCTGGTTCAAATGTGACATGTCGTCGGCCCTTGTTAACTCGGTTTGTGATTGCCTCGTAGGTTTTCTCCATCTTGAGTTTGGCTTTGGCGTGAATGCCTTTGAAAAGGGCAGCCTTCTTTTCACCATCTAAACTGACAACCTGATCTAAAGGTAAGGGAATAAGATCCAAAGTAGTTAATGGGTTAAAACCATAAACTATTTCGAATGGAGAATAACCTGTTGTGGAGTGAATGGATCGATTAT